CGGCCTCGCAAATATGACTACGGTAAGTACGACAAGTTGCGTTTTTTTTTTAATTTTTTGTTTTTTCTCGCTCTTTTTCAGCAAATCATGCATTTTTTGAGAGTTTTCTCGATTTTTCGATATTTAGAGCATTTAAAAAAAGGAGGAAGTCAAGAAATCTTTTATTCAACACTGAGATAACAGGGGAGAGAAAATGACAACAAATTCAAGAAAATTAACAAAAAAAGCTTGTGTTCATGCATCAAAATCTTCAAGTCTCGCCTGTGTCGTATCGATCTTTTTCTTTGAGAATCATCAACTTTTCCAGCATTTTTAAGTCCAGGCTCTGAAGATTTGGTGTGTACGAGTTTTTTATGATTGAAAAAGATCTTTCTACATCTGCTTCCGAAGCTTGAATCGCATGAACTTTTCGGGCGATTTCGTGCAAAATTGGATAGGAGCTTTTTGCCAGATGCCAAAAATTCGATGCAGGCATACTTCTGGTGTCTCTCTCGTATTGCTGCTGTTCTTGATGAAGCGAACTGCTTTTTGGGGCGCTTGATCCGCCCAGAGTACGTTGAAGGAAAGTGAGATGACGTGCAGGTGGTTGGCTTTGTGGTGGCGCCTGATATCTCATTTCCTCAAAACTTTTTCCCAAATCGTCCAGAAGCTTCTGAGCATCGTTCACGATATCAATCGGAATCTGAAATTGAATAAATCAAATGAATAAATCGGCATAAACCGACCATCACTGGCGTTCGAAATGTTCATGTCGCCACAGATCGATGGAAAAATCGAGAAAAGTCTCGAAAAATGTGATTTGCTGAAAAAGAGCGAGAAAAAACAAAAAATTTAAAAAAAATACGCAACTTGTCGTAAAATATGCGACTTGCTGACCGTAGTCACATTTGCGAGGCCGGCCGAGGCCTCGCGAGGCTTTTTCTCAATGGAGCGCGCCGAGGCCTTTTTTCTTCGGCCGAGGATTTTTCGAGGCCGGCCGAGGCCCGGCCGCCGTTTTGGACAGCCCTGGTATTTTCGAAATAAAGATTCTGAGGAGAAAATTTTGCGAATTGGGATTTATCCAGAATCTCGACTCATTTGTTTTGATATTACTGAATTAAGTAATGTTTCGAATGAAGCGATTTTACAAGAATAAATCAAAAACCAATTAATTTGGTGACTTCTAATCTCTTTTTAATTTTTGATTTAATTTTGTTGTTTCAGTAAAAATTTCGTATTATGAAAAACCTTCAGTAATCAAAAATGAAGCTCTTTTTTTAATTTACAGAACAAGCAGACAATTTCCACCTACTATTTCATAGCCCTAAACTTTCCTATTAATTACTTTAAAAACGTCTTTATCGTTCATTTTTGTGCGGTACCGTATCTTAACATTAAAAAAAAAACATTCACCACTCTTCTTATACAATAACGTCGTCCGCTTTTTGATCTTATGGTATATAAAATCCCTTCACTTTTCTCAGTTTCATTTTGGTCCAGAGTTGATGGGTTATCGTTATTATGGTTTTTCAAAGTTTATAAAAAATAATATTGGTTCCGAAATTGTTGCAAAGCAACGAAAAGAACAGCCAGAAGAGAAAGGGAAAAACGAAGCAAGGGAAGCTAATAAATCACGTTAGTAAAGCGAAGAAAAGAAGATATAAAACATCCAGAGCGAAGAGTTGTAAACCAATAAAACAATTGATCAAGCGAGTATCCAGGAATCGGAAAGAATATAAAGACCCCACTCCAGGAACAATCCCTTGAACCATCATTTGCAAAAAACGTTTCCTAAACTCCCACATCCCAACAATTCAAATCACCAAGCGATGTCGCAGAATCTTGCCGCCAAGAAACCTGACCGCCCCGAAGCCTTCAACGAGCCGAACAGTCTAGAATCATGCCGCGAAGAAGTCGCTACGCCCAGAAGCCAGCAAGAAGCCTACCCGGTACCACCAGGAAGCTGCAAAGAAGCTGCAACAACCAGAGCCACCCAAGAATCCGGACCGCCAGCAACGCGAAATCTGCAGCAGACGGGGCACCAGCCGAGGAATCCCCAACCACTAGGAGTGAAATTGGAAGGCAACGGAGGACGGAAAGGAACCGTGTCCATCAACGAGGTCGACGACAACGACGTGCCAGGAGAGAACTGCTCACCGCTTTATTCAATATGATCTCGGATAGTCAGGCATAGGGCATTTCAAATAGTTATTGTAGATGATTTGATCATTGCTTCTATTTTTATTTTAACCTATTTATTTCTAACACTCTTTTTATGTTCATCTTTTGTCTTTAACTTTTTGTTTAAACCTTACTAATATATATTTCTTATATAAATCATATTTGAAAAAGCTGTGTTCTGTTCAAACTGTTGACAAAAAATGATATGACTCCTCGTAGAGCCCTGGGTATGGAGGAGTCAAGCTTGATAGGAAAGAAACTACCCAAAAGTTACAGATTTCGAAAACTATTCTTTTGTAGTAAAAAGAACCGATACTCATAAATCAGATTTATTTCAAGAAGCTTTAAAAATTTAAGCGAGTCCATATTTCTTCAAATAGTTGTTGTAGATGGTCTGATCATTTTCAGGCATGGATTTGATGAAGTTCTGAGCATCAGTTGTGTATTCGGCAATGAATTTATCAGTTGCTTCCTTGTTGGATTGAACCAATGGGAATCCAGAAGTGAATCTTTTGGTCAATGCATCCAATCCGTCAATACTTGCTTGAGTCATCCCAGCTGCAGTCAACTCGGCTTTTGATTCTTCTTCTGAAACGAAAACAGTCGATATTATGAAAAACCAATAAAAAAAGTTAATTTTTGGTTTCAGAGTCTGCGGATTTTTTTGAAAAAGCACTGAAAAACTGACCAGTTGGATACTTGATTGGAGCAGCAAAAGCAGAGATAGCAAGGGAGACGAAAAGGAAGTAGAATAGGTTGAACATATTCAAGTTTTGATAGTTTTCAATTGAAGATCCAAACCTTTTATACTAGAACTTCGTATTTTGATTTTCATGCTGACTCAGGCCGCTTTAAAATATAAAATAACAAAAATCGTATTTAGTTCCCCTATTTTAGTGAGGTCATCAAACTATGAAATATGTCTGTGTCTCTTCCCTATTTTTGAAAAAATAGTTGTAACATTTTGTCCGTAGAGTTGGTTTTCCTCTGATTCATAGATAGAGATATGTTTTGGAAAACTCACTGAAGTTTTTTATGAGAGGCACAAAAACACTGTAATTCCCATAATAGAACGCCTCTCCTATACTTTCACTTTGAGCCTAATATGTATCTCGTTTAATGTAAGAGATATCAAAGAGCTATCAACGGAAAAGTACATATTTGTTCTATTATTTCAACTATCTTTTAACGGACATTTTTTTTTATATTTATCTTATTATAGCAGAGATAAGTGAGCTTCAATTAACAATATAGAGGTGACTGTATACTGAAATGATTGATACATTTCAATAAAACAAGAATTTCTTCCCGAGAATCAACTTCAGCAAAAAATAAACATTTTCAAAACGGCAGGTGAAGTTTTTACAATTAGCAAGAATTCCCTGTTTACTCATTATTGTGAAATATCACACAACACAAAAACGCGTCTCTTCCCTTCGAAATGTCGGCTGCTTGTAATGTCTCTGGTATATAAACCCCCTCGATTCTCTTCAGTTTCACTTCGGTCCGGAGTTGATGGGTTATCAATAAGTGTTTCGTTTCCTGTTCGCAGGAGACAACCCCGGTTTCCTTGTGAAACCAAAAAACCGTTCTCTCGGGAACAAAACCTCTTCTCGTGTTCTGTTAAAGAATACAAAACCCTTCCCATCAACACCAACTTGATCGAAGTTTTTGCATTTTTATTATCGAAACTAGAGTCATAACTAGAGCATGAACAATTTTTTTACTGATTTTGAAAACTAATTTTTGTAGTAGAAAGAACAGATAATATGTAGTGAATCAGATTTATTTCAAATACTTCAGAATTTAAGCAAGTCCATATTTCTTCAAATAGTTATTGTAGATAGTTTGATCGTTTTCCGGCATGGATTTAATAAAGTTCTGAGCATCAGTTGTGTATTCCGCAATGAATTTATCAGTTGCTTCTTTGTTGGATTGAACCAATGGGAATCCGGTAGCGAATCTTTGTGTTAATGCGGCCAATCCATCAATACTTCCTTGAGTCATTCCAGCTGCTGTAAGCTCTGCTTTTGATTGTTCTTCTGGAAAAAATTATGAATACTTTAAAAATGGAAAACATTTTTACCAGTTGGATAGCTGGCTGGAGCAGCCAGTGAACAGAGGGCAACAGAGACAAGAAGAATAGAGAGTTGACGGAACATGTTATTCAAGTTATGATACTTTTCGGTTTAAAGTCTTCATCTTTTATATCAGGACGACTTCACATTGGATCATGAAAACCTAGTACTGAAAACTATAAAACCAAAAATTCGTATTTAGGTTCCCTGTTTTTCTGTCGAACACACGACAACTCACCAAAATACGAAACTTGTGTCTGTGTCTATTTACCCAGTAAAAGTCTCCAATACTGTTTCAATATGTACGTAGATGATGACTTATTGGCATGGAAAGGTACATGAGATTTTAGCATGTTTTTTATAACTCTAAATTTTTCGATTTGTCAATAAAATATGCTCAAATATCATTAATTTTTGTTGCGATAACTTATATTCTCAATTTAAGAAAATACATCACCTTGACTTAATTTTTTTCGAGTCAAGCCGAATGAAAAATTTCAAGACATGATTTTTTCCATGGTTTATTGCATGAAGGTTTCGGAGATTTATGTCTTGGTAGAGCAAACTTTTGGATGTTAGAAGAGATGATCAAGATGCATTTTTTGTTTCTTATATTATCTTTAGCCTATTCTATTACCGCTCAATGCAACTTTGTGTGGTGTAGGTGACTAATATGGTAGGTATTAACATTATCGCGACTTTTCAGCTAACAAAGTTTCATCCGACCTCTTGTCCCTTGGAATCTTGAAGAAAAACGTAGAAGCTTTGGAGAAACTATTCAAAACGTATACATCGGACTACAATATCAAAACCATGGATATTTAGAACAAAGAGAACAATTACTGAACTCACTGACTCAAGCAGAAAAATGGAACTATGAAAATAACATGAACAAGTACAAAATTAAAAATTCAGATGCTTGGTTGTTATTTTTCTCGATTTCTCTAAAATAAATGCAATTAACTTCAATTATCAAATTGTTGAAAAAAAATTTATTGAAAATTCAAAAAATCAATTTCTCTTGATAGACTTCAATTTCAGAGGAACCAATCTTTTGTAGAACAACGCAATTAGAATCGCTCCAATCACTAGAATCCCTGCTTGATATACCATCACGTAACGGAATCCGGTGGCTTGGAATAGGGCTCTGAATATTTCAAAAATATGCCAAGTTAACCTACAGAAAATACTTACGTTGAGGTCAATGATCCAATAACTGGTGCCAAACTTCCTCCAAGAGAAAATAATCCTTGCATATTTCCCTGTTTTCTTGGCCCCAGAATCTCGGAATAAAGCGCCGCGGATGGAGATTCCACAAATGGAAAAGCCACTCCGAAGAACACAATGAAACAGATTAGGTAAATGGATAATGGGACTCTAGTTGTCCATTTGCACCACTCGTAAGTTTGATAGCAACCTCCTGCCACATCAGTATCCTTTCCAGCCGGAAGAAAGTCCAACGGCCCCGAATAGAACTTCCACGGATACATGAACACTTGGTAAAGGAGGAAGAATCCCAGTCCGATGAGCATTTGAATGCGTTTGTCTCTGGAAAGTGACTATGAAATGTATAAGAACTGAACGGGGTAGAGATCATCATCACAGTTTTCCGAGGCGAGTCGATCCGAGAATGATGTTAAGGGCAACGGAGACGACGCAACTGCAGCAGAGAGCAATTCCGTTGTAGAGGATGGATTGACTGTCTTTCCAGTCAAAGAGCACAGTTGTTAGTGGAGTAGACATCCTGAAATAATGAAATTGATTAAGAATCAGATGATCCATATTTGCCTAAATGATTTTGGTATTTCTGACAGAACCTAAAATAAATACAAGGTGGCGCAAAATTACCCGGACTGATATATCTTCAGACACAAGTATCCGGAAAGTACAAAAATTGGTAGAACTATAATTTTACGTTGGATTCAAAGCTACTGAAACTTTCATAAAGATTCCTCAAGTCTAGGTATTGTTATGATTATCCAATGATGAACTGCGTGATGCTTTTTTCAAAGATGAAGCACTTTTGACAAGAACTCAGCTCAAAATTGATAAAATAATTCGAAACTTGACCAATTTACTATTGAATTATATGAATTTTTAACTCCAGATTTGAGGCCAGTAAAACGCCGCTCTCCAATGTTATGCTTGTACAAACTGGAAAAACTCACACTTCAATGTTTGTTGCAATAATATTGACGGTCATGAACAGATAAATACAGGTTAAGGCGCCAATCAAGTCGTACTTGGGGATGACCACATTCAATTCTGAACTCTGTTTGATTAAACGAGATTTGTCTTCAATCAAACCTTTCTCATTCTCATCAATGATTCCCACATAGTTCTCGTTGAAGAAAAAGTGAACGATGACACAAGCAGCGAGAAGAACAATAGTCATTAAAAAGGCGACAACTGTGAACATGTTGATTTGCAGGAATCCGAGTTTCCAGCCATTCTCTCCAAGAGGAGTGAAGAAGGCCTAAAACATGACATCAAGAGGTTTTGAGAGTTCAACTCACCGACAGCACTGGTCCAAACGATATACCCAAAACATATCCACCAGTTCCATAGGAAATCGCCTTCATTCGATCTTTTGGTGTAGATGCAGTCGCTGCATAGATCCTCAATGCGGCTATATTACCGACTCCAAGACCTGTAACCACTCTGGCAGCCAACATGAACCATTTGGCATCCGAGAACAGGGAAAGGAGACCGTACCACATTTGGGCTGAAGCAGAATCTTGTTTTATAGAAACTATAGTTTTGAGAATATTCGGACATACCAACAGCAGCGATCAGAAAGCCAATGATAACGGGCATTTTGACAGACATGGTACGTTGGTTCCAGTAGCCGTAGAGGGGATTTGACTGGAATCAGTTGCTTTCAATTTTTGATATTTTCATTTTCTTTTTTTTTGAAACTCACAATAGTAGAACCAATATTACAAGAAGCAATAATCCATCCCAAAAAGTCCACATCTGCAGTCTTGTCAAGTTTTTGAAGATACGGCCACATAGACATGTAGTAGACTGAAACTTGAACTCCAACTACAAATTGAAGAAATATGGAAATCCACATTGACCTCCAATCCGTTTCCATGTGATCCAGAACTTCAGATGCGGAGAATCTGACAAATCTGAATTTGTAGAGGGATAAGGACGGAAAAACTCACTCATGTTTCTCATTTCCATTGTCATCAAACACTTGAGTTGTAGATCTTGATGCAATAGACACTCGTGTCATTTTTTTTAGAAGATTGGTCACTGAAACAATGAGCTGATTTGATTTTTTTCGTTATCATTTACTCAGCCGCCGGAGATGGTTGCAATAGAAAATTGAATTATATTATCAGTGGAGCAAAAGATTAATCATGATGGAAAAAATGATGATAACGTTTTGAATGTTGTAGCTGTTCTGATGATTCGTACTTTCATTTGAGCGTTTCATATGATTTTTCGGATTGTGGTAGAAATATATTAACAGAGTTTATTCAGACATTTGCAAGAAGAGATCAGGTCAGCGAAACTGGCAAAAATCGAAAATTTATCCGTCGAGTCCATGCTTCTTCAAGTAGACGCTATAGATCTCTTGATCTCCGGCTGGCATCGCCTCACGGAATCTCTTATCATCGGCAGTGTATTCTTCGATGAACTTGTCAGGTCCCTCAGCCGAGTCCTTGGCAGCAGCAAACCCAACTTTGAAACGCTCGGTGAGTTCTGCGAGACCTTTGATGCTCTCTTCGGTCATTCCAGCATCGCGGAGCTCAGCGGTGCATTCTTCTTCTGCAAGTTTTAAATTCCAATATTACATAGTTATTTTTGAAAATTAAAATCCAAACAAAAATGCCGCAACTCGAGATCTACCATATTTCCTCTGATGGAAGCTCACCCAAATCCTCAACTTTGAGCTCAATTATTTTGATTACTGCAGAAACTTGTTTGAAATTTGAATTTTTGAGACTAGCTACTGCTCTTTCCAGGCTAAAAAGATTGAAAAAAAGCATATTCTACTATGTTGAAAAAATTGTTGAAGTTCAGACTTTTTCAAGAAAAAGGAAATAGAGAATTCTGCTAAAAGTCGAAACTATTATTCTTTTTAGAAATAAGTATAACTTTTTAGAAATTCTTAGTGCTAAAATAGTGCTAATAGTGCTAAAATTCTAGTTTGTTCTAAAATTTAATGTTTTTCAAAATTAAAAAATTTGAAAAAACAATAATCTTGCCCGATTCAAAATTTTTGCACGCAAGTTTGAATTTTTTTGGAAAATTGGAAAAATCAAAATTTTAACTCACCAGAAGGCTGAGACATTTCAGATTTTCAGAAAGAATTCGAAGTTTTAGCAAATTAAAGAATGTGCATATATCTCAAAAATGCTCAGCTCTTTTATACTTCTCCCACTCCGCGTATTTTGTAGTCAAGGCACAAAAATCGTATTTTAGTTGTTTATTTTCATAATAGACACCTGAGAAACACACCTGGCATGGAACAAAACTACGATTCTCGTCTGCGTCTCTTTTTTTTCGTTTTTTGTCTGACACAACCAATTTGCCTGGCATCGAAAATGGGAATGTGATTTTTGTTGTATGTCTCTCGGGGGGATTTTGAAAGATTAAAACTGATGTTTCAGATCTATAAAATGAATCAAATTTCAAAAAGTAACATCAAACGATAAAAATGTTCAAGCAACTTGTTCTCTTGGCATTCTGCGCATCCTTGGCTTATGCCACCATGAATCTTCCAACTCGTAAGTTCTCCAGAAGATTCTGAATATTCAAAAGAATTATACAGATTTCCAGAAGAAGAATACGATGCTGAGCTTAAAGCAGCTGGAATGTCTCAAGGCGGAATTGATGGATTGCGCGCATTGAGCCAACAGTTCGTCAGCCAATATCCGATTGTTCAAGCTAATAAAGAAGCAGCCGACAAGTTCTTGGCTGATTATACTGTAGAAGTCCAGATTTATGTGAAGTCAATGTCTCCTGAAGATCAGAAGATCTACGCTGACAGTCTGAAGAAATATGGACTCGCCTGATTTTTTTTTCTATAAATACACCTAATAAAACTTTTCATTAAGCGAGCGTGAATTTTTTTCATGCATCAGAGAAATATACAAAGTCTAACTGGATCAAAAAGCCAGGATTAAAGCAAAAAAGCATGACAGAAAAATCAGGTCCTGACAAAGAAAAATTAGGTCATGACAAAGAAAAATTAGGTCATGACCCAGGAAAACTAGGTCATGACCTAGAAAAAATTAGATCTGGACCCCGAAAAAATTAGGTCATGACCTAGATAAAATTATGCCATGGCCTAGAAAAAAATTAGGTCATGACCCAGAAAAAATTAGGTCATAACCTAGGAAAATTCGGCGCAAGAAAACACCGCTCAATAAGATATACAAAAACGTATTCTTCAGTTGATTTTCGGCCATATTGACCATTTTCAGATGTCTGTAGCTCAACTGTCAAGTGTCTGATCCCTTTGAAAATTGTAAAGGGTGTAAAACAGACCTCGATTGAAAACTTTGCATGCACAGAATTTTTCGAAAATTCCCAGTTTTCTGTTATTTGCCGATTTCCGAAAGACAAGTGTGACAAGTGTTTTTTACGTTATCAGCACAAACACGGACCAGAAAAAAGGGGGGGGGTGGTCCTTCACCTTTAAAGATTCTGAAATTCTAAAGAATTTAAACATTTCATTTCTAAACTTTATTCATTAATACACTGAAAAACAACCGTGTTTTCCTCTCTGTTCAATTTTCTGTTCAATTTTTATTGAATTTATTTTCCCATTGCTCATTCGTGCCTAGGAGCATTTTTTGAAAAATCGCTACTGAATAAAATTTGAATTTCAAATGGTTCGTTCCCTTTCCTCCAATTTGCAATACATCCAATTTCCTTCGACGTTCTCTTATCCAAATTTCCATCATCTTCTCCAACCCACCAATCCATCAAACCCTATACCAACTAATTTCCTTTTTTATCCATTCTCTTTTTTCGACGTCTTCTTCTTCTCCTGTGTCACTCTTTTTATTTTGGGGTTTTTCCAACCCCTAAATTACCCCCGCATCGTCTTCTTCTTCTTTTTCGTCTTTTTTACCTCTCCTCTGATCCCTCTCGGAGCTCCCATTTCACGCTCATTTCGTATACGCCTCCTTCTTCCAACCAGTTTTTTTTTCTTTCTTCCATTCCATTGAGCTTCTTCTTGTGCTATTTTTTCTTCTCCTTTTTGTTCTTCCTTCCTGAGCCTGTTTGTTCGGAAACAAGAAGTGAGGAGAGGAATGTGGAAGAAATAAATTGGGACTCTCTCTTTTTTTTCTTGGCTTTTTTAGATGCCGAGCTTTCGGAGTTCCTCTTTCCTTCTGGCTCGTCCCGCCTTTTTGAACATTTTTTGTGTGTGTGGTCTGAAGTTCGGAAAGTGCGCAAGTTCTCATACCAACCCAGATGGATATCTCCATTCGTTTTCCATTTTTAGAAAACATGGATTGGGGTAAGCCACTCAATTGGACGGAGATTACCTGGAGTTGTGCTGAATACTGGCCAACGGAGTCCGATGCTTTTCTTGCTGTCGTTGCGTTCGCTGGGTTTCTTATGAACATTGTGAGTTGAAAGGGATTTTTGTAGAATGGGAAGTTCGGGACAGATCGACATAGAGGTTTTGAAGCTCTAACTGTTAGGTTTCGACTTTTTGACGGATATTGGTCATGTTCTGGTCGGAACTTGCCCAGAAACGGCTGTATATTCACGATCGTAAGTTGAAATTTGAAACACTACTAGGTCGGAGCCTTTTTATACGTTTGCCGGAGATTGGTCGGATTTAGTACCAGTCTTATCTGGAATTCTAGCCTAACCTCCGACAAGAACGATCAAGTAGTCTAGGCGTCATTTGACGCGTCACAGTCTCAGATTCCATAATCTAGGTTTGCCTTTTTTTACTTAACCTATGCCAGACTGGTCCGTAGCCTGGAAAATTTACAAATTCATTGAGCCGAAATTTGCCTAATTGTTTCGTATATGACTTGGGCTACAGTAAAACCTATGCAAAAAGGAACTGTCAAGTTGGAGCTTAATTATCTCGATTCCCATGTTAGATATCAAGATTGTTTTTACTGATAAAACGATATTATGATAAGCATTTGGTCAGTTGGCCAATTTTCTATATCTTTCACAGGAACCGAGATAAATTGTCTCAAAGTTGAAAGTTAGGCGGCCATTCTATTACATGTTTCATGGTTATTTTTTGTTAGCTGAGATGACGGATGTTGGACAAAACTATGCGAGCGGAGAATTGTCTCAGGGTTTAGGTTAGTGACTCACTATCAATTTGTGATATGTAACCCATTTCGAGCTAGATTCATTAACGCGTAGCTCTGTGGATGTTGTATGCAAGAAGTAACCAACACTGGAGAATGATATCATCCCGCTTACATGTCTAGCAAATCCAAAACGATCACTCAAGCTTAATGATGATTCCTATTAGGGCATGTCAATTTCTATTACACTATACGATCTGATTGCTTTTTTCGTATCAAGGTAGAAATAGTGACGATGACAGGATGCCTCGAAATTCTACCACTCAAAACTAATCAAGTTCAAGCTAAATCTCATTATGTCCTCTACAAGTGTGTTTCTTTTCAAAGCGTCTAATCAAGGACAAAAATAAAGTTGTTCCATTTCCCAAAACACCCATGGGACACTATTTTTTGTGTCCTTGGACCACTTTCAGAGTTGTTAATTGAATTCCCCCACCGAACTTTCTTCAAACTTTTAGGGGCTTGTCTGTCATTTCTACAAGGATCGCAAAAATGGGACCGCGTTCTTGGAACACATGGCGACCTGCGACGCTGTGCTCATCTTTCTGTACCTTTACATGTACTTTGGAACCAGTTGCATCATGTATAATCGTCATGATGTGAGTAGTTGATATTTAGGAATCGAGGAACTCCAATTCAAAATTTTAAGTTTTTTGGGAAATTGCACATCGAGCTGCAAACCGTCGTCAAGATCTTCTACGAATTCTATGAGATGAATTTGACATTTGCCATGTTTCTCATTATGATGGAAAGATTCCTCTGGACTTGTTCATCTAAAACTCGCTTCCACTGGACAATGTTCACCTATGGAAAACACAAGTACTACCTGGTATTCGTCACATCCACGTACATTCTGGTCGTTCTTGGTATCACCTACTTTAAACCGATGGTAAGCTGTGCGGGAAGACGCTGAAAATGTCATCAAAATTTCAGAAATTCTCCCCAGTCCCATTCTGTGACATGGCACTCAAACCCACATTATACGAGGATGCTTGTAAGAATTGAAGTTGGAAAACGAATCCGTGGTGTTTTTTTTTCAGTCTTGCGTCTGCTCCAAGATACCATATTTCCCTTGGTCTACGCCTACGCACATATTGCTACGTTTATTCTTGCTATTGTCACACTTTTCCGGATCACAAGAGTCGGGGAAGGAGAGAAACCGTTGGATCAGGAGGAGATTAACCTGGCGAATCAAACAGGAGGAGTACCATTAAGACTGTAAGTTCTTATCAGGCAGATAACTCAAGATAGAGCAGAGGAACTCTGATTAGGGTCTGCCTGTAATACACTACCTCGTGGCCTATTTAGGTTTTCTTCTAAAATAGTCATCGGTCATAGAAAACCCTAGGCTGCGTTCTGAGCTTGCATCGGGAAGAACGGTTTAGTCCACGTCAGCCCACACATGACCCGCCTTGCTTCTGATAGCCTTGAGAAAAGCTACAAAAATCAAAAATTCCAGAACCACCGGTAGAATCAAGCGCTCAATCCTCTGTATGCTGTTCATCTACCTAATGTTCTTCTTCCGCGCATTCTGCTACTACCTTTTCGTCGACCCCCAAACCTCCAACATGTTCGATGGAGATGTTGGCTCGGGAATTCGTGAGTGTCATTTCCTTAAACCTGAAAAACTATGATGTATAAATTTCAGTAAAATACTGGTCCTACGATTTTATGAATGTGGTGTTCTCGGGATCCAGAGCAATCGTCTATGTGGTTTTCTGCCGCAACCAAATGGTCGTCGAGTTCCCGCCGTATGGACTTGGGCGTTAACCTCGATCCCCAGATCAACTTTCCCAAAAAAAATTCTTCTTTGCTTTCATCCCAAGAGCAACTCTTGAAATGTATTGCTTTGCTGTCTCATGATCCCTTGCTTCCCCTAGAAAAATCCCACATTCTCATTTTCACTCATGTTGTGTTTGTAGTTCCTTCTGAAGGACAACCAAGGTTGAAACTAAATTTCCTGACCACAAAAAATTACTTCCGCGTTCTCCCCCTCATTTTTTTATGTTTCAGTGGCTTTGAAATTTTGTTTAAAATAAAAGAGACGCAGAGATTGGAACATTTGTCTCGACTGCAAAGAATTGCGATTTAGAGAAAGAAACTTTGTGGAAATAAAAATGTTAGCAGTACATCAAATCCACAACTCAATTTTGAGCTCTTTTATCTCAATTCCTGTAAAAGATATCAAAAAGTAATAAACTGATCAAATGTTTACCAGAATATAACAAATATTTTGTTAGTTAACTACTTTTTGATATCTTTCACAGGAACCAAGATAAATTGGCTAAAAGGTGAAAGTTAGTTATTCTATTACAGTGTTTTCCGTACATATTCGTTTCGAACGTTCTAGATTTTTGAAATGTTATTTTTTTGAATTTTCAACATTATAAAGACTTCAAACTTCAAAAAGAAATTCTCGGCTTTTGATTTCTTTCTTCACTTTTCCAGGTTCCGAATGTCCAAAGTTTCGAGTAAAATTGTATAAAACTGGACGGATTTAACCAAACTTGTCCAGAGTTTTATCCAAATTATGTAGACATTATTCTAGCGATTTTCGCAATCGCCGGATTCATTCTGAGTTGTGTAAGTTAAGACTTCCATCGGTCGAAAAATTTTGCCAACCGACCGACCGAGCTGGCCGAACGATCAGCTCGTTTTGAGAATCAAATTCAGCATGAATTCGGATTTTCAGATGCTAATTGCCAAGTTCCGAAAACAACTCAAAGGATCTGTATTCGTTTTTTCTCTGGCTTTCGTTGATATGAGTTATTGTCTACTGTATTTTTACAACTTCCCACTCAAAAGTTTGGTGTTCTACTTGGAAAGTGATGTGAGTTCTTTCTATTTTTCAAATCTCATCTCATTGTCAGTAAAAACCAATTTCAGTTTATGGCCAATGTCCGTCACAAGGCTCAACACCAAATTGAAACAGTTGAAGAGTTTGGAAACTTTTTTATTCCAATTCTCATGATGTATATTGTCATTGAAAAATTCCTATGGACTTGCACTCCAAGAACTCGTTATTCGTTGAGACTTTTCACTGTGGACCGTCCCAAATTCATTTTGACTGCAATCACAGCAGGAATTGGTATCATGGTTGTGGTTATTTCCACTTGGAATCTTGTGGTATGTCGATCATCATTTATTTTCTGTTTCTTTCCTTTTTTATGGACCTCGGAGTGTGCAGTAAGCCTGTTTAAGACTAGTTCTAGTCAATAAATTTTTGGTGGCTTGCATTTAAAAATGTCAGGGAAAGAGGTAATGAAAATATTTCACTTTTAAGATCCTCCATGTCCATTTCTGCGACGTCATCCTTCTTCCATTTGCGTTCACGAACTAGGGTTGGTTGGGGGAAATGGATAATATTCTATGGAAATGTCAAACAGAGATGAATTTTTGCAGTTTTGAACACTATCCAAAGACTAGTGATCCCATTGACCATAGCTCTCACTGTTCCAATCTCATTTATCTTTGCGTTGATCACTTTGTGCCGCATCGGATGTGTTGGAAAAGGAGAGAATCCAGTGGATCAGGCAGCGGTTAATTTGGGAAATGAAGAAGAAAATCATGTTGCCGGGTTGTAAGTTTTTGTGATTATACAGGATGGCTAATAAGTATGTGGTTTTTTGTTTTCGAAGTGCCCTGTAAAAAAAATTGGCTTGTGACATTCAAACTAAGCTCATTTACTGATAATATAGGACCAATTGAATAATTATTTGAGTACATAATCGGAGTTGAATGCTTCAGCTTCGATGCTGACCTTCAGACGCTCCCGAAAAAGTCACCGTGCTCCGCAGGTAGTTGTCGTCTGTTTTATCTCATAACGTGAGATGTGTTCGCTTGAGCAAGTTGAAAGTTAGTTTAGAACAAGTCATGCTCTTGCTCTCCATGTACCTCAAAAATGAAAATTCAGCGGGTTGAGATCCGGTAACGAGACAAGCTTCAACTCCTTCTCCCAGTCTTGCATAAAACAAGCTTCGATCCTCGATTTTGTGAGTTTTGGGCTTTGAGGCGGTGTCGAATATTGTTTCATAGTAAATTGTTTCTGGCCAATATGACTAGCAACTCAGGGAAATTGAACACCCTTCAAAACCATATTTTGGTAGGTATCCGAGTTGATCTTCACGTGTTTGTCCATGAAGACCAGTTGAGCCCTACCGTCAGCTGTCAGACCTGCTCAGGGCATACCGGATTTTGGGAATAGCTTTCTGTACTCCAAAAAACGTTTCAGGGAGCTCAAATTATCTTTTAACAACATTAACCGATTTTTCCGGCTTCGTGGAAGCGACTCAGTGGTAAAAATTTCCTCACAGGACCAAATGACGTCGTAGGCGCGGCGCACCTACATATCGTTCTGTTTTAAACTGATTGGCGATTTCCTGAGCTACCGACTAACCAACGCTGAGTGTCCAACATCATCGTATATTCAGTGTTAACGCTTGAAAATTCTAGCACGGTGTGTATAAGCTTGCATAGAAAAAATATTAACAAAAATTGATGACAATTGGTTTTGGAGACCTCTTATATACGTCTCCAACTTTTGGAATCCATCGAAAGTTTTCAAAAATCGCACTTGGCACGGTGCCAGGGGCTCGCGCAAAAAAAACCACATCTTATTAGCCACCCTGTATTGCTCATTCTTGCATTAAGACATGCCTCTCCAGAAACAGGTGTTTTCAGAACCACCAGTCAAGTGAAAAAGTCAATTCTCTGCATGCTCACTTTCTACTTCCTCTTCTTCCTTCGTGGAGTCTTCTACTTTGCCTACGTCCGTCAGCACACCAAGGGAATCTTTGCCAATGATAGACATCTTCGAATCAGAGAGTGTTCTTTATGGTCAAAATCTATCATGAATGGTTTCAGTGTACTCTTGGTATTACGACTTTTCTAGTGTTGTGCTCTCCGGCTCCAGATATTTGATCTACTACATTTTCTGCCGTCACGAGGTGGTTGTGAATTTCCCACCCAACGTTTCTTTGTAATCAGTTGTTCAAACTTTTTTTTCCCGCTTCTTGCATATGACAAATTTTTTTGAATGCTAAATAATAAACTTTTTTCGATTCAAAGGTTTTAAAAATACATGCTCTGAAACCCCTCTTTTTCTCTACCGCACTCTCCCTCTCACCCTCTGAATCCAACCCTCCGTTTTTGTTTCTTACATATTTCACAACTATACGAAAAACTTGATAAGCTATCAGTATTATCTCCCAGACCCCAAATCCCAGAAGAAATTAAAAATCTTTAGCGTTTGGCAGTATATACGAAAATAATTACCTGGTTAGAGAAGAAATATATCACTTCGTTTTTTCTTCTCCTCCTTTTTTGTTAAGCTAAACGTTTTTATCCATTACTTCTCTCAATTTTAAGTATGGCAAGCCTTTGGAATTGCTTTTCCACGGTGACTGCGAAAGTTGAACCAGTGGCCATTGCTATGAACGTTATTCCGGAGCCAGTTGAACAAGAAAAAAGAGAAGAAGAACCGGAAATCGATAAGTTCCTATTGCTCAGCCTTCCGAAAGAAATTGTGATTTTTATTCTGGGGTTTTGTTCTCCATTTGATCTGTAAGTTTTTCTATCGACTAAAACGGTACTACAGTTTGTATTGTTTTGGCAGAACAAATCGCAACCGGGCGTTTTAGAATCGAGATTTTTAAAATAAACCCTCTAATAGAAGAACCCCTGTCAAAGATAACAAAAAGTTGTCAACTGATAAATTGTGTATCATAATCTTAGAAATGATTTATCCGTTGACAAGTTTCTGATATCTCGCACAGGGGCCAAGTAAAATTAGATCAAGCTGGACAAGGAAGACCCTTTTATTACATGTTTTACGGGAACTTTTTCGAAATGTCTGCTCTCGAAATACTTTCAAAATGCTCCGGAGCCATTTCATCTCGCTAGAGAAAGTTAACACTTTCGAAATATCTGATTTCAAAATTCCATGGAGCAGGGTATTTGGAAAAATTTCACAATTTTTCAGACTCGCCTTCTCGCTGATCTCCAAAAGAACCAGAAAGCTGGCTATCAAAGCTCGAAAACAACCAGACGTCCAAAAGAAATGCAAGGTTTTCAAAATGTGTTTGGGAGTATCGTATCAGAAAATAATCATGGAGTTTGATGAGCAACCAAAAAAGCATTGGCAGTTGATGAGACATCGGGACCTTTCATTTAAACCGCACATAGGAGAAGTTGTTTTGAAAGAAGTTGATATTAATGGATGGAGTGCTAAAGAGTATGTTAAACTGTTGTTCGCGGACCCAGAAGCTTACTAGTGAGTTTTCAATTTTGACTTTAAAGGAGGCCAGACAACAAAAAAAAAGTTTTCCTGATATTTTGCATAGGGAACCCCCATGAGGGGTTGAACTCATGACAGGCAGCTCAGGGGTACAGCGCCGCTACCGGCTGAGCTACGGGGGCGCGAAGGCGCCTGACGACCGATGGTCTACATAAGCGCGGCGCGATTTCGTCCCCCGAACAGTCCCCCGAAATTTTTGCTGTCTCGCCTCCTTTAAAGTTTTTAACAATATTTTTTTCAGCGAAGGATTCGGCGCAACCTTTAGTACCGTATACATCAATTCAGATTACTCAATTCAAGAGCTGAATATGTTTTATGATTCTCTATGCGAGCTTTTTAATCCGGTAAGACATATCACTAGCATCCACTTGGACTGTCCATATATCGAACATATTCTTTGGCATTACAATACAAAAGAGTCATTCCAATATTTGGTTATTGAAACTTCCGATCAGACAAGTGAGACTTATATTCGATCGGTTTTCGATAGAGTTCGCATTTCAAACGGAGTTTTTCTTCGCTGCAAAACTGAACCAAGCTTTTATTATGATTTGAGTCGATTTGAAGTGAAAGAAATAATTGAAGTACACTGGTCGTATTGGGTCAAATTGGATCAAGTTTTTAATATCAAGAGTCATACGATTGCATTATTTGTGTCTTCCTGGTTCTGCAAAGATTTGAAAGTTCTTATTCAAAAATGGAGAGACGGATGGACACCAGAATGGAATCAGCTTACTGTAGAACTGAAATCCATGAACAAGGAGTTGGAAGATTGTGTTGAAGGAGAATCAGTGGAGATTGGAAATGCAAAGGATAAGAGTTTGGTTTATAAGTGGGTCTGACATTTAAAATTTGTTTGATTTTGAGGAAAAAAACTAAATTTGAATTTCCAGAAACTCTTCCATCCAATTATACAAATTTAATGAGAAATATAGAATTGAAGACGTCTCTTTTTACATCGACGGATATCATATAGTTCGAGAAGACGGTGCGATTGCTACCGTACTCATTACAAAGGGAAATGTTGCTATAATGACAATTCAATCGGAGAGAACCAAAGAATTCAAATTTGATTTCAATCGTCGATTATTTTTGCCAAGAAAAGCTTGGAGTAGTTTGGAGAAGCGACATTGATCTGTATTTATTACTTTGAATGAACTTTTATTTATTTTTATTGGGAATAGTGTTTGAGGGGGGTTTTACATTCGGATTTTTAGAAAATCTTGTAAATACACCAAAAACTGAATGTTCAAAATAAAGATTAATGGAAAGAATCTTTCGTAAATTTTTTGTTGGTTCATCTTATCAATTTATCTGTGATCTAGTTCTGACTACACTCTTTTTGTTTCTTTTCCTTTTTATGAGGAATCAGTTATAAACAATGAGACATGTGATGTTATAAAAGATATCAGAAAACGTATCTGTCATATTTTCACAACTACGACAATGAGTGAAAGAACTGTTATGCTGCAAAATGAACTGCAAACATTGGAAACTTCAAAACGTAGGTGAGCTAAAAATGTTTGGATTTTTACAAACTTAAAGTTTTTTCCAGCCGAGCTTATATTTATTTCACTTTGGGTTTCGTTTTGAGCACAATTTTCGCCTTTATTGCATACGGTTTGAGTCAAGGAATTTTCAATTTATTTATGGAAGGTTTGTATCTTTATTAACTTTCTCAGTGATTTTATAGCTTTTCAGAAGAGCACGAAGTTTGTGAAAAACGAATCATTGGATACTATGAACTCAGTTCCACCCGAGAAGTCTCAGAACTTCAATTATCGAAATTTACTCATTTGGTTTTATTTCTACTGGTTTTGCTGTCATCTGGGAAACTTAAGTTTCGAAATGATGAAGAGAATACAAACTTTTTGAAGACTATTCAAAAGGCAAAATTATTCCAATTAAAATCAATGTTTTCTGTTTGGGATGAGAATAAGAATTACGAAGTTATAGAAGGCGTTCTCGACGATTCTAGGAAAACTTTGTAAGCTCTTATATTTTTTAAGGTTTTCAAATTTTGTTTTCAGAACTCTTATAAACTCAATAACTGATTTCATCGAAGAGCATCAGCTTGATGGAGTTGAGGTGTATTGGAGGTGGTCTAGAACAAAACAGGAATCGCTGAAATTCTCGAAATTTTGTCAGGAGCTACGGAGTCAACTGTCTTCAGTGATTAGTATCACATTTGCCCCTCACTCACTTCACTATCAAACCGACTTCAGTGAAATCTTAAAACATGTCGATTTCATGAGCGTTGACACAAATAACTACTACGGTTCCTGGCACCAGAAGTTTCCTCGTCTCGTCGGGCCATCTTCTCCGTTGTACTCTGGACATCAACATTTTGAAAACCAAAACGTGGATTCTACAATGAAAAAGTACATTTGCTCAACAAATAAACCGAATCGATTGAATATGATGGTGGAATTCACAGGAAGATATTGGTATAATGTGATTGTACCCAGAAATTTAAAAGAAACTAATTGGCCTGTAGCAGAAACAAAAAATGGAAATATTGAAGGAGGTGCAATCCCAAGAAGAAATTTCGAAGATCTTGGATGGAATGTTTTTAATACCTCGTGGAACGACGAATCGAGAACCGCTTTTATTTGGAAACCAGATGAAAGAAGTTATATGACATTTGAAAACGAGAAGAGTTTAGGAGAAAAGATACGATACGCGATAGACAATAATATCGGAGGATTAGCGGTTTGGAGATTCGATCATGATGATGACAATATGACATTGTTGAATGTACTTGCAGCTGCTAATTTGTGTTCTGGCAAAGAAAATAAATATGAATGTTGAAGTATCATTGTTGTCGAAAGTATGTGTTTTTTTTTTCGTCCGTGAGGTTCGAGGTTCGTTCGTTAGGTTCGTCCGTCAGGTTCGT